GTTTATATCTTTTGTATCTTTAATAATTGTTTACATGCTTGTTTTATCAATTGCCAAGAGAAAAGTGTTGAAATTTAGTTATATTATTTTTTTCTTTATTTAATTTGATACAATATAATGAGTTTTGATGTATAATAGCATTTTGATAAGTCAATTTTTTTTAAATTTTTTTTTTAGAGGTTTTTGCTATAGGGTACGTGCACTTGCCAGAAAGACAGAGAGAGACAGAGAGACAGAAAGCGGGAAATCACCCCCCAGGGGGGATGGCCACAACGCAATCCCTTCTCCTCCATTCTCCTCTCGGGATCTTGGGCACACACGCACACACACCCAGCGTGAGTTTAAGCCACAGGGTCCGGGACTCGAACCGCAGTTGACTATATGGGAGTTCAGCGACATAGCCATTACGCTAACTGCTGGTTCCGATAAGTCAAAGTTTTAATCAACATGAAACATTTTCCTTTATCCTTTGTATTCTTTTTTTCTGAAGTCTACTTTATTTCATATTTAGAAGGCACCCCTGTCTTATGATTGCACAGTATAGCTTTTCTGTTATTTTACTTTTACCTTTAGTCTTCATCTTTTTTCAATTGAGATGTAATTCATGCCAAAAAAATCTAGTTTGATAAATTCTAGTATATCCACAAAGTTGTGTAACGGTCTCTACTATCTAATTCCAGAACATTTTCATCACCCCTTAAAGAAATCCCATACACATTAGCAGTCTTTCATTCTCCTCCCACCAACCCCTGGTTATCATTTTCTGATTTTGTTGTCTGTGAATTTGCTATTTGTCTATTCTTTTTCTTTCTTTCATTTATTTATTTATGTATTTAAGATTTTTTACCATAGGGCATATGTGCTTGCCAGAGAGAGAGACAGAGAGAGAGAGAGAAGAGAGAGAGAGAGAGAGAGAAAGTGCGAAATCACCACACATGAGTGTTGACCATGATGCAATCTCTTCTTCATTCTGCTCTAGGGATTTGGGGCATGCATGCACATGCATCTGAACCATTTTTCAAGCCACTGGGTCCAGGGCTCAAACCTCAGAGTTGGCCATGTGAGATCCAATTGCCTTAACCACCAAGCTACCTGCTGGTCCCTATTCCAGACATGTCTACGAATGGATTCCAGCAATATATGACCTTTTGTATCTTCTGACTTATTTCAATTAGCATATTCTTCGGTTTATCTGTGTAGCATGTATAACATGCTAGCATGCTATAGCATGTAAAAGGAATATTATTTCTCTTTATGACTCAATAATATCTCACTGTATAGATATACCAATTTTTTTTTCTTTGTCCATTTATCAGTAGATGGATATTTAGGTTGTAGCCATCTTTTGGTAAGAACCGTTAATGCTGCTGTGTCTGTGTATACATTTTTGTGTGGACATATGCTTTCAGTGTTCTCAGGTATATACCTAAGAGTGGAATCGCTGGATCTTAGGTAATAAGATTAATTTTCTTGAGGAACTGAAAAACTTTAACCAAAGTTACTTTATCATTTTATATTTCCTTCCACCAGCAACATATGAGAGTTCTCATTTTTCTGAATCCTCTCCAACACTTTTTTTTTTAACCATCTTTTTGATTATAGACATCTTAGTTGATGGGAGAAGACAGTCGTTGTTTGATTTGTATTTACCTAATGACTAATAATGTTGACCAGGTTTTCATGTGCTCATTCATTTGTTTTTCTCCTCCCGAGAGATGCTTGCCTGATTTTTCTTCATGTACTTTGGAACTCTGTTCAAAGTGCATGTATATTTATAATTGTATGTCTTCTTGACATATACATTATATATGTTTCTAATTGTTAAATATTTTTGAAATGTCTTTCTTTGTCTCTGGTATTTTAATGTCTAATATTAATGTCACTGGAGCTCTTTTTTTGGTTATCCCTAGTATGTTTTTTCCATCCTTTTATTATCAACCCATGTGTCTTTGAATCTAAAGTTTATCTCTTGTAGACAACATATACTTGGATCGTAATTTTTCATTCATTTTGCCATCTCTACCTTTTGACTGGAAGGTTTAGTCAAATTATATGGTAGGGCTTACCCCCTTCATTTTGCTGTTTGTTTTCTATATGTCTTATGTGCATTTTTTCCACTCTTTTCTTCCATTACTAGATTCTTTTGAGTTAACAATTTTCTAGTGTACCATTTTAATTTCTTTGTAGTTTCTTTTATTATATATTTTCACGCATTTTGTTTTGCTGGAAGATGCGTGTGCTCACCAGAGAGAGAGGGAGAGGAGAAAGCGCTGCTCCGTGGGGACTTGTCACTCTGCAACTCTGCAATTCCTTCTCCTTTATATTTTCCTTCTTTTGGAACTTTAGGCACACATGCATGTGCATTGAGTATGTTTCTCAAATGCCAGGTCTGAGACTTGAACTGTGTAGACCATGTGCGATCCAACTGCCTTAACCGCTAGGTCACAGAGCTGGCCTGAGGTATTTTCTTTGTGGTTTTCCTGGGGCTCACAATTAACAACTTAATTTATGATCATCTATTATAGTATGGGTTAATACCAGTTTAATTTTCTGGTACACAAAATGTGTTTCAATTCTCTTCCATTCCCTCTTCTTTATATTATTGTCATACATCATTTTGTGTGTGTGTGTCTACACATCTGCACAGTTTTATGATTGTTGCTTCATGCAGTTCTGCACAGTTTTATAATTATTGCTTCATGCAGTTTTCTTTTAAATAAGATATAGCAAAGTTGTGATTTTTTTGAGGAAAAGTTTCTTGGTTCTTGAATTGGTGTTGCAAAGTGTTCTTCTTTCAGCATTTTGAGTAAGTCATTCCACTTTCTAATGGCTTCATGTTTCTGATAAGAAATCAATGTTAACCTTTTTGAGGAGTCCTGGAATCTGCTGAATCACTTCTCTCTCAATTCTCATCTTTTCAGAGTTTGATTAGGATCTATTAGGTTCTCTTCTCATGATATTTTGGAGTTCTTTGAGCTTGTCAAATGTGTTAATTGATTTTCTTTAAATTTCAGATGTTTTAAATTAATCCTTTTTTTTTTTTTTTTGGAGAGATTTTCACTATAGGGCGCGTGTGCTCGCCAGACAGACAGAGAGAGACATTAGAGACAGAAAGCGAGAAATCACCCCCCAGGGGGGATGGTCACGCCGCAATCCCTTCTCCTCCATTCTCCTCTCGGGATCTTGGGCACGCACGCACACGCGCCCGGCGTGAGTTTTAAGCCACCGGGTCTAGGACGCGAACCGCGGTCGACTACGTGGGAGTCCAGCAACAGAGCCATTACGCTAACTGCTGGTTCCCAATTAATCATTTCTTGATATATTCTTTCTGGCTCCCATTCTGTCCTTCTGGGGCTCTTGTATTTATTTTACTGCCCTTGATAGTGTCCTACAGGTATTTGAGCCTGTTCATTTTTAGAAGTAGTTTATTTATTCCATCAAAGAGAGAAAGAAGTGAGAAAATACAAGAGAATGCACCTCCTATGAGGTCCTGACACTGTGATCCACTCCTAGCCTTAGGCATCCCCCTATGGTGGGCGCACGCATGCCTGGTGTACTCAACGATATCTCCAGACATGAACCTGGAACCTTTTATGTGGGTGAGCCTTTGCATATAGTTGTGTTTTACTACTATGGTGCCACTGTCTAGCTCCTATGTGGTTTTCAATCTAACAACAATGATAGTATAAATAATTGAGTGTTGTGTCAGACACTGCTCTAAGCATCTTGAATGTATTAATTCATTTAATCTTATAACTCATTTACTTGTAACCTTTAGTTACTAGATCATGTAAACTTTCTGAAGGCCTGTAGTTTTCAAATATAAAGCATCCAAAGCTAGACTAGATAATCTTTAACATTCTTAATACTTACAGTTTATTTCTTCAGATAAAATGATAAGGAAAATTAAAATTTTGGCTTTTAAGTAACTTAAAATCAAATTTATAAACGAGATATGCCCAATTGAGTAAAATACATGTTGACAATAATTTAGACTGTAAGATCACTACAAAATGGTATGAGAATGTAAAATGCATATACTTGCATAATAAATATTCAAGTCAGATTGAATTGAATAATGACTGGTGAATTTAGAGGCGTTTTTGTAGAAGATGGCAGTCGACGTATGCTGTGGCAGGTGATAGGAGTAAGTGAGGTGGAAATGGGAATAGAGTGGTAAAGAGTTACTACTTTTTACATTGCATTACACTAAATTATGTAGACAATGGGAGAATGTGAGACAAGAAAGCAATGTGTGTTCAGAGAACAATAAAAATATACTTTGAATATATTAGGGAGTATTAGGTAATATATCTATGTTAGACTCATCTTAGAACATTTAATATCTTTTTAAGGATGTGGTTGATCACTAGCAATAGAGTATGTCAGGGAGTGGAGAGACTGTGCCATATATTATTTAGAAACTCCACATTTTACAACTATACTTTCTGTCAATCTCAACGAAGAGAAGTTAAGTACAATTTAATATTTAAAAAATAATTCTAGGGCTAGAAACTTTGAAAGCTTTGAAACTGTCATATTGCTTTGGGTGAGCGTCTGCAGGCTGCTGTTCAGGGTGACAGAGGTCAGATTTGTGCTTTTATAGGTCTTTCTTTTTGTCCTCTACTATGTCTTATTTCCGCTGAGTGTTAATCCTTTGTGATTAAATGATGCTGAATAACTTTATGTCAGCATCCAGCATAAAGTAGGAGCCTAAGGCTGACTGTTTAAGATTATTAGTGTCTGTCCCAAGAGCCAGTATATAGAACTTCTAATGTGGCATGAATAACCGAATGGAAAATAGTAGATTTCTCAGTGGGATGGAAGTTATAAAGGCATTTCATTTAACTCTGTAAACACTGGAATCTCTTCGTTTTTTACTTGTTTTTATTAGGTTGGCAGACTAATGCTTTTATGTAATATTTGATAAGTCATTTAGCAGGATAATTCAGGGAATTCAAAAAGCAACCGAGTTATATGCATTGTCTGATTTCTTTCAGGTAACTTGTCCAGGAGTGGTGCTGAAAGACAAGGAGGACATCTATCTTAGCATCTGTGTGTTTGGCCAATACAAAAAGACACAATGTGTCCCAGCCACCTTTCCACTGGTCTTCAATGCCAGAATGGTGTTTGAAAAGGTGAGTTCAAATATCATATCAAGGCCAGCCTGTGGTCTGGTGGTTAAGGCAATTCGATCCCATATGACTGACTATGCGGTTCAAGACCCAGACCTAGCAGCTTGAGAAGTGCATTGGGTGCATGTGCATACATGTCCAAAATCCTGAAAGAAGAAATGGAGGTTAGCAGGATAATTCAGGGAATTCAAAAAGCAACCGAGTTATATGCATTGTCTGATTTCTTTCAGGTAACTTGTCCAGGAGTGGTGCTGAAAGACAAGGAGGACATCTATCTTAGCATCTGTGTGTTTGGCCAATACAAAAAGACACAATGTGTCCCAGCCACCTTTCCACTGGTCTTCAATGCCAGAATGGTGTTTGAAAAGGTGAGTTCAAATATCATATCAAGGCCAGCCTGTGGTCTGGTGGTTAAGGCAATTCGATCCCATATGACTGACTATGCGGTTCAAGACCCAGACCTAGCAGCTTGAGAAGTGCATTGGGTGCATGTGCATACATGTCCAAAATCCTGAAAGAAGAAATGGAGGAGAAGGGATTGCAGCATGACCATCCCCCTCCTAGGGTGCTTTCTCACGTTTTTTTCCTCTTAATCTCTTTCCTATGAGTACATGCACCCTCTGGCAAAAATAAAAAATGAAAAAGTAAATATCAGATAAATAATAACAAACAAAACAATGAAAATCATTCCAAATTTTCAGTAAAAGCCTGTAACACAAATTATTACTGCTGACCATGTGCTTTGATTTAATTCAAAAGCAGAGTTATAACTTAGATCTGGAAGCATGAAAATAAAATATGCATTATATCATACACTGAATAAATTGCCTTTTTTCCTTTTTGCTGAATCAGCTTGTTTCTAAAAGTATCTTAGTGGGATTTATGTAAAGCATAGCTTTTTGAATTCTGAATAACTTTTTAAAAAAGATGTCATTAATAGTTAAGTATATATCATACAAAGCAATTTCAAAAAGTCTCTGGAAAATGGAATGAAAATATGATTTTATTTTGGTGCAAAAAATCTTGAAATTCATGCACAGTTTTTTCATGATACACATTTCCTGTAAACTTTTTGAAGACCTTTGCATTTTACTATGGTTGTCTGTGCTAACTTTTTAAAAATTTTTTTCACTAAAAACTGCTGCTTTTGATAAATTATTGCCAATAATATTTCTGACTCTTTTATTT